TCCTTCCCATTAGGAAACTGCCTGCTCTTCCCTCTCCCCATGTGCTGCCTCCATGCAGCGGCTCCACCTGGCCCGTGAGGAGGTAGGGAGACTGTTCAGGAAGAGACCCAGAACTGCCCATCCCCCAAGTGACTTTGCCCTTGCAACACAGGTTAGGGGTCGAACCTGCACAGCCTTCCATTCTATGTCTTTCATTAGCTGCTGGTTTTAATGGTGTTTGAATTGGATTCTGCCTTTTCCAGGTGAATTTTTTAAATGAACTTTTAATTTATTAAAAAAAAATTTTTATGTTTTATTTATTTTTGAAAGAGAGAGAGAGACAGAGTATGAGCAGAGAAAGAGGGAGATACAGAATCCAAAGCAGGCTCCAGTCTCTGAGCTTTCAGCACAGAGCCCGACACAGGGCTTGAACCCACGAACCGTTAAATCATGACCTGAGCCGAAGTTGGATGCTTAACTGACTGAGCCACCCAGGCTCCCCAGTGAACTTTTAATTTTAGAACAGTTTTAGATTTTTAAAAACTACTGTGAAGATAATGCAGTGTTCCCACATCCCTGCACCCTGTTTTCCCTGTTATTAACATCCTCCATGAGTAGGTACATTTGCCACAGTGAATGAACTGACATTGACACATCTTTATTAAATCCATTCTTTATTCAGATTTCCTTAGGTTTTCTTCGGTGTTCTTTTTCTGTTCTGAGACCTCATGGAGGCTATACCATCTTTTAGATGTCGTGTCTCCTTAGGCTCCTCTTGGCTGTGATATTTTCTCACACGTTCCTTGTGTTATCTGGCCTTGACACTTCGAAGGAGTGCTAGTGGTCAGTTATTTGGTAGAACATCCCTCGACTGGGGTGAGTCTGAGGTTTTTCTCACGGTTCGATTAGGGTAATGGGTTTGGGAGAGGAAGACCACAGAGCTGAAGTGCCTTCTCACCACATCAAGGGCACACACTATCAACATGACCTATCACTGTGATGTTGACCTTGACCTCCTGGAGGTGGTGCTTTTGTCAGGTTTGTCCACTTATAAGCTAGTCTTTTTACCCCTTTTCCATACTGTGTTCTTTGGAAGGAAGACACTATGTGCAGCCCACACTTACAGTCAGGGGATTACTCCGTCTCCCTGAGGGCAGTGTCTACATCAATTATTTGGAATCTTGCATAGCGGATTTCTCTCGTCTCCCGTTTGTTTATACATCCATTTATATCAGTGTGGACTAATGGCTATTTATTCTGTACTTGACTTACAACCCAACAGTACCTTACTTTGGTGTTCAGTGTCCCACCTTTGGTCACTGTGAGCTCAGTCAGTTGGCGCTGTGGCCGTCCCTTTGACAAGTCCCATCAGTGTTACTTAGCATTTCCTGCCTTCAGGCTCATCTTGCAGATTTCCTGCCCCAGTGCTCTGTGTATGAAGAATTAACAGGAGAGAGAAGGCTTGCAGAGTGTCACATTCCTGGGTGGGTGAGAGAGGGGCCAGGAGGTGTCATGGGGTGGGCCCCGCTGCTTGAGCTCCAGGGTCAGGGCCTGGCGGACATGTGACCGGAGGCTGAGTTCTGACTGATGGACCCTGGAGTCTAGGCCTCCTTGGACAGTATTAAGATTTTTGGCCAAGTGGATACAAAGCACAAGGCCCTCCTCTCTTTGCTGCTGCACCGGAAGCAGTTTCACTCAGCTCCCCGGGCCATTGCGCCAAAGGTCTGGGGTTTTTTTGTTTTGTTTTGTTTTTTACTTCTTTATTTATTTTTGAAGGAGAGAGAGACAGAGCCTGAGCAGGGGAGGGGCAGAGAGAGAGACACACACACACACAGAATCTGAAACAGGCTCCAGGCTCTGAGCTGTCAGCACAGAGCCCGACACGGGCTTGAACTCACAAACTGTGAGATCATGACCTGAGCCGACTTAACTGACTGAGCCACCCAGGTGCCCCTCGTGGTTTGTTCTTAAAGCAAATGAAAGGTCAGTGCCTGGGATGCCCTAGAAGGTTGGTTAAAAACACGTTAACGTTTGCCTTTCCAAGGACCGTCAGAGACAGCTGGGGATTTCTAGCAGATGTGACCCTGGGATTGCCCCCTCTGCCCACAAGCTCCCCGGTTCCCAGGTCTCCTGCGGCAAGAGGGCAGAGCCTCTGCTACACCCTCGGCCAGGCCCATCCCACCTTCCAGGACTTTCCCTAGACAGACCACACTACTCACCTCCCTCATGACAAAGTCATTTTTTGCCCCATGAAGGATAAATCCCAATGGACTCACTCAAGGATGCAAGAAATAAATGTTTTGTTTTGCAAAAATCAACTAAACCTCAACTCTCACGCCATGTCCTCAGCCTGAGAGAAATCACCCTGGGCAGCACTGGGACCTAGGGGCTGTTCAGCCCCGGGCAGGGCCCCGAACTGGGGAGGAGGGGCCAGCACAGGGAGGCGCTGCCAGCTTCACCTTCCAGGAAGAGCAGTGGGAACCGCACAAGACCGCCCGCTAAGGGCCTGCTGCACCTCAGGCTGCGGAGCGGAGCGGCGGGCAGCCTTGGCGCCTGGAGCCTGCACCCCTTGCTCCCAGGCTCGGCCCTCAGACCGGTAGGGACCTCTGCCTAGCCAGCGGGGGCCACCGGGCTTCACCCCCACCCTCCCCGCCCCACAGGCCGCAGCCGTGGCCACTGGTCTGGGGGCTGGGCGCGGGGCCGAGTCTGTGCTGTCGGGTCTGAGGATGAGCCACACGTGGCAGCCGGGACATGTCCCCTCTCCGGTGCCGGCTTCCTGGCGGCTGGTCAGCGCCCCGCCAGAACCGCTGCCGCCTCGGCCTCGCCCCCAGTCGGCCTGCGGAGGACCCGGGAGAGACCCCGGGAGGACTCGGGGACCACGCGGGGACCACTCGCGGAGGGCGGGGAGCACGGCCGCAGGCCACTGGGCTCCAGGGCGGTCCCGAACTTGCCGGAGCCGCGCACTGGCGTCTCCGCGGTTCTGATTGGCCAGGCTTCCGTCACGTGACGCCCTCGGAGCCAATTGCGGCGGATCTTCCTGGCACACGCTTATTGGCTCGGGCCGGTCAGGTGGGCGAGGACAGAGCCGGGAGGGGACGCCCGGCGCCGCCGCAGCTCCCCGGGGCCTCGTCTCAGCGCCCACCTCGAGTGGCCCTCGGCTGGGGTGCTGTTGAGGCCCTTCCACCTTCAGGGCCACGCAGTCGTGTGGCCACCACTGACCCGGCAGTGCGACAGCCCGGTGTGCGATCCCGCCGCTAGCCCAGCGCCGCACTCTCCCGCCCCGCCGGCCCCGCCCCCAGCCCCGCCCTTGGGACCCCCACTCCACCGCGCCAGGACCCCTCCCTTCAGACCTGAGGGGCCCTGCTGAGACAGTTCCAAATTGTGCGGACAGGTGGCCGCGCTGGCGGATTGTGGACGGCGGGACGTGTCTGGCTGCGGGTTAGCACAACTAGACAGAACGGTCCTGGACTGCCAGACCTTTAGTTTTGTCCTGACAGCCTGGTAGTAAGTGGCTTGTGAGTCAGTAACTCCTACAGTGCAGGTCCAGGAAATGCCAGGCCTGCTGGGGCTGGCTGCCGGTAGGGACCAGGGGCGGAGGTGACCAGAGCCAGGACTGGGCAAGACCTGCCTGCCTGCAGAGTGGGAGGCGGCTTTGGAGGGTGCCAGGTATCAGTGTGCTCTGTTTGTCAAAAGAGTTAAACATGCAGAAAGGCGAGAGACTCTGCGAAGAGTCGTGTGGACCTGAAACGGGCCTCCAGGGCAGGGCAGGGCAAGGCCGTGTCGTCTGAGTCATGCTCACAGCTCTGAAGGGCCCACGGCAGCTCCTGCCTCAGGGTGCTGGGCATGGCTGCTCCTCTGTCTGGTGTGCTCTCCCCTGAAAGTCCCCGCGGGCTCCCTCCTCCTCTCCTTGGCGTCTCTCTGCACCTCCTCAGAGGTGAAATATTGATCTTCACCATCCTCTCTGCCCCCTGATTCCACTCAATTTCCGCCCCAGAAGAAATCACTTGATTTACTTTTTTTAATCATCTGTCTCCTGCCACTGGAAAAATTAGTTTCAGAAGGAAGGGACCTCAGTTATCCCTGGTGCATAACACCAGCTTGGCACATCCCAGGACCCAGTAAAGTCAAGTGAACAAATACCTTTACCTGGAGTCCTCAGACACTCTCATCTGAGGCGTCTGACCCACCAGTCGCCGAGGAAGGGCCGGCCAGTGTTCAGAGGGAAGGCTTGTCAGGTCACCTGGCAAATCCAGGTTGCTGCTCAGAACTGAACCTAGTCCATGCCAGGATGGGGGGTTGGGAGGGGAGTGGAGGCTGAATGGTTGATGCAATTTTTGGTGCCCTTCCTTTTTTTTTTTTTTTATGTCTATTTATTTATTCTGAGAAAGAGAGAGATAGAGAAAGTGCAGGGGAGGGGCAGACAGAATCCTAATCAGGCTCTGCACCATCAGCACAGAGCCTGACCTGGGATTTAAACTCCTGTACTGTGAGATCATGACCTGAGCTGAAATCAAGAGTCGGACGCCTCGCTGGCTGAGCCCCCTAGGCGCCCTTGGGGACCCTTCTAAGAGTGGCCCTTCTGGGGGTGGCATGCAGAGCCTAAAAACAGCATGGGCTGCAAAAGCTTTGGTCAGTGTTTTGGATCCAAGGAGGGAGGATGGACAGTGACTCCCTCATCAGGAGGCAAAGTGGGAGCTGAGCTCCCAAGAGTCTGGCATAGCTGTGGGGAAGGCAAGGCTTGTCAAGGGGTCTGGGCAGGTGGGAGACTCGTGGAGGGGGGGGAGGGAACAGGGAGGAAGGGAGACCCAAAGGGGACAGTCTGCCCTTGAGATGATCACCCTGGGCTGCCTCAGGGAGATGGGAGTGAGTCTGGGTCAGGGCGGTGGGGAGACCCTGCAGTTGTCCCAGGGAGAAGGGAAGGGGCTTCCTGTCCAGCAGCAGCGTCGGGGCCCTCCTGTCAGTCTGCCGAGGTCGGCCGCCCGGAGGGGCGTCAGGACTCTGGAGAGAACGGCCACGCAGCGTGAACTCACTATGGTGTTTATTGGCTGTGATTCCATCCAGAGAGAACACACGCGACGGCCCCCGACATGCAGGAGGAGGCGTGGGCGCAAGGACAGGACGGACGACATCCACGGCCTACGCTAAGCTCGCGGCTCCGGGCGCCCCATGCGCTGGGAACGGGGTGCGGGGTTTCTACGCGACAACGCCCTGTCTGCTCAGAGCTGGCTTTTTGACGTGTGAAAACAGGCATTTAAAAAAGACATGGGACCGAAAGGAGTGGAGGGCGCAGGACGCGCAGGGCCCGCGGGCCGGGCAGGGGCGTCCGCGGTGAGTATTGCAGTCTATTGTTATGGCTTCTCTAAAGAGCTACGTGGGGCCGCGCCCCTGGCCCGCAACACGTGGACTCGATGAATGTGCGGTACGGACAGAAAGGGGCCCCCGGACACCAAGGCGACGGGCTTTCTGCCCCGATAGAACTCCCCAAACACGTAAGACCTCATTTACCTGAGATTCAACATATCGTGATGCAAAGGAAAACAAGGATGAAAGAGACGGAAGGGTCGGGAAGGCCCGCGGTGGCGCTCCTCAGACTCCGCCAGGCTGAGCGCAAGGCTGCCTGGCGGGTCCCCAGCTCGAGGGACAGAGGAGGGCCCGGAGGGACCTTCTGTCCCCAGGCGCGGCACCCATCCAGGGCCCCAAGTCTCCCCCATGCTCTCGTGGAAGGTGCGGGCGCACAGAAGGTGCGGGCAGGAGACCCCCACCCCAGAGCAGCCTCTGCTAAGAAGACCCGAGGTGCCACCCAGGGAGGGGCGAGGGCTGGGCCTCAGGGGGGCGGTGAGCCACAGGGTGCGCGAGGGGCTGCGCTGTTCCACACTGGGCCTGCGGTGGGGGCGGTGTCCTAAATTTCCCCCGAGGCCTGCTGCTTGGTTCCGCTCAGTTTGGAAGAGACCCAGGTCCTGGCACTGCTCCGGAGCAAAGCCTTCCAGAGGAGCGGGCGGGGGGGGGGGGGGGGGAGGGCACGGAGGGCAGGAAGAGACGGATGGACGATGTGAGGGGTGCAGGTGGAGGTGGGCAGCCTTCAGACAGGAAGATTCGGAGCCGCTGCAGCCCAGCTGTCGCTGCGGGGGCGAGGGGAGGCTCCCGCCCCCGCCCGCACGCCCGCCTTCCCCCCACTATGGCTGTGCTCCTGAGTTTGGGACGGGGCAAGCGCCCAAGAACGCAGGGCGGCGCACCGACAGGGGGTCGAGATGCTGCGCTGGCCCTTTCGGTGGCGTGGCCTTGGGCGCTGCTGGGTGGGTGTGACGGGCGGGAGCAGTAGGGCCGTCCCAGGCTCTGGGGGGGGGTTCAACCCAGAGGAGCATGTGGGCCGGTCCAGGGGGGGCACCCCTCCCCTGGTGGCGGCGGCGATGGCAGTGAGGGGAGGGGCTGGTGGTGAGCGGTGAGCGCAGGCTCCCCAGGCATGAGGGGCGCGTGGGGCGGCTAGGTCTAGGCTATGGCTTATATCGGCGTTCGGGGGCTGCACTCTGCTCCCGGCATCCCTTCAGGGGCCTCCACGGAGGGCGAGTACAGGGCGTAGGTGGCGAGGGGGCGGCAGGGGTGGGGTCCGGGCTCGGGCGGGCTGTGTCCAGCGCCGGGGCGTTACTTCTTGAACATGTCCTGCAGCGGCCCGGGCAGGTACTTGATGACCGTGTCCAGGATGCTCTCGTCCTCCTCCTCCGGCTCGTCCCCACAGCCTGGCGGGATGGCTTTCTTCGGCCGCGTCAGACTGCCCTCCGAATTGGCCTCCAGGGCGGCCTGGGCCTCGGCCTCGCGCTCTTCCTTCTTCTTAATGCCGTACTGTGGGGGAGGGGCGGGGTCAGACTGCTGGTCGCCCAGCCCCAGGCAGGAGCCGGGCCTCACAGCAGCTGGGAGGCTGGACCCTTCCGGGTCCTGCGGGATTGGCCCAGAGACCTTGAGAGGCAGTGCCTGTGGCCGAGAAGGGCAGTTGGGAGCCCCTGGCCCCACGGACTGCCTCCAAGACCCCGGAGGCAAAATCCCGCCCAGGAGGGTGCCTGGTGGGGGGGGGGGACCCTCACGGAGAAGTGGGGGCAACAGCTGAAGCCACGGCTTGGGGGGGCTGCGTTGAGGGAGAAGCAGAGGGGAGGGGAAGGCCGGTCCCTACCGGGTGCCGGTGACCCCGCCCCACCCCCGGCCTCGCCACCCTACTGACCCACCTCGCCTTCCCTGGAAGCTGGCGCTGCCCTCCGCTGGCCTGGGCCGTGCCTAGGAGGTGGGAGGGGCGGGCAGGACATCTGACCACCGTGTGGCGAGAACCCATTGCTCTGGGACCGGCCGGCCCACACAGCCCAGATCCTTGGTCGGGTGGCATGCAGTCACACCCCACGCCTGGCCAAGCCTCCCTAGGTGTGGCTACGACCCCGCCCCTGCGTGACAGCCAGCGGAGGAGGGTGTCCAGTGGCGGCCCTAAGTGGAGCCCCCCTAGGCGCGCCCCCTTAGCCCACACTCCTGGCCACCCCTGAACCCCATTTCAGGTTTCCTGTGTGTGTCCCTGCCCCCAGCCTTTACCCAGGTCTCCCATCTGTAGCGGGTTGAATGTGCCCTCCCCCCAAATTCTTGTCATCTGGAACCTCACAATGTGACCTTATTTGGAAGTAGAGTCTTTGCAGATGTAACTAAGATAAGGAGATGAGATTGCCCTGGGCCCTAAATCCAATGAGTTTCCTTGTAAGAGAAAGAGAAGGACAGAGGAAGCCATAGGAAAATGGAGAAAGACTGGAGCGGACGCTGCCACGAGCCAAGGACACCAAGGACAGCCAGAGCCACGGCCACAGGACGACAAGAGGCAAGATTCCCTCCTGCAGGTTTCAGAGGGAGGGCAGCCCTGCCCGCATGCTGACTCGGCTCCGGAACTAAGAGAGTTCATTTCGAGGAGGGTGATAGGCCCTCCCCCCAGGCATGTCACCAGCACTGAAGAGGAGGAGCTTGTGCTCAGGGTGGTCTCCTGTCTCATGGCTGGTGGGAACCGGGTAGGGTCAAGCTGGACTCATGCTTCTGGGGGCTGGTGGTCTGTCTGATGGGCCGAGCTCAGGACCCGCTCAGGCTGGAAAGAGGGGTGCCGTTGGCCGGCTCTGAGGTTCTGGATTGCGCGTTAGGGAACACACTGGAGCAGAAGCATTAATAAGGATGAAGGGGGAGACCTGGGAGCAGCCACGTGGGGTCACCAGGTGCCCATGGGCTCCAGTGTCCTACTGGGGGACACACAGGACAGGATCACTTGCCCCAGGGGGTGCTTCTGCCCAGGGGGAGGACCCACCCCATCTCTCCTTGCCAGCCCCACCACGAGTGGTGGGCTCTGCTTCTGGTGCTCGGGGGGAAAGGGACACCCTTGCTCTCCAAGAAGGGCCTTCCTTCTTCCAGATTTCAGGGGAGCTGGCTATGTCCCACCTGCAGCTTCTAAAGGTACTGAAGGGACCCTCTGCACCGGTCTCCTGTCTGCGGCTGCAGGAGGCTTCAGGCATGGGGGACGCAAGGGCCCCTTTCAGCAGTGGTCGGAACGGGGAAGCCGTGCTCTCTGCCCAGCTGTGACCAGAGCACAGCCTGGAGCCTCCTTGGCCACGTGCCAGACACTGAGGACAGAGGAATGAAGGGTTTGTCTCTGTCTCCTCAGCAGGAGCCCTGAGCAGCTCATACTCCTCTGTGCACCCTGAACAGCACCCAGGAGGGTCCCACAGAGGGGCTGACCAGGGTGCCCCAAGAACTCTTAGGCAACGGGCACGTTGACCAGAGGGCCCTCCCTACTGAGCACTGATGTCAGGTCAGCCAAAGGCACAGCGTGTGACAGGATGACCAGACACCAGGCACCCCCTTGCCCAAGAAGCACAGGCCTTCTCTTGGGTCACCATTCTAGGACAACGTCACGGTGGACGGCAGTGGCCCTTGGGCTTGGAAGGGGAAGGAGGAACATGTGGCTTGGAGCCCTGTGGGGTGGAGTGTGGGCGGAGGAGAGAGACGCTTCCAGAAACTAGGTCAGACCAAAGAGAGCTTCCCTCCAGCCAAGGGCACAGAGACAGCCACAGGGCGGTACGCACCAGGCAGGAACCTTTGTGTGCGGGTGGAGGCCTGTGGGCGGGGCCCAGGAGGCTGTGATGTCCAGGCCTGCACTCTCGCTCGCTGCGGCCGGTGCCGCAGGGGACGCTCATGTTATGGAGAGAGCATGCTGTGTGTGGCCGAGCGGGGTCATCTCCCAGACCAGGGACACAACCTCAGAGCAAGCACTGTCTTGGGTGCTGAGTCCTCTCGGACGTCCAGGGAGGAGACCCCAGCGCCCAGCCCAGGTGCTCCATTGAGGCTCAAAGCCATTCCAAAGCTTAGACCACTGGGCTCCACCTGGAGGTCGCGGGTACTCTGTTGGGGAGGGACTCCTGAGCCCACCCCCGAGCTCGACTCCAGTGTGATCTGGCCAAGAGCTGGTCCGGGGCTCCTGAGCTCCAGGGACAAACGCTCATCCGCAGGAGGCTGTTCAAGGACGCGAACCGCCAAGGCCCCCAGCCCCCCACTGACCACGAAGATGGCAGGACCCACCCCACACGCTGGGGCTGATTAACAGTGAGGGTCTGTAATATTCTGAAACAACTAACAACAATTGGCAATCACACCCACACTTATCATCATCTCAAACCTCAGACAGCCTGGAGTGATCTCAAGGGGACGTGGGGGACTAGGTGGGCTGGGATCCACCAGCATGTCCTGGGAGGAGGCTGGAAGCAGCAAACCTGGCGGTGGGCACGCAAACCAGAAGGTGGGTACGCAAACCAGGAAGTGCATATGCAAACCAGGCAGCGCGTAGCAGGTGGGCCAATCTCCCCTCTTTCCTGGGCCTCACAGGTGCCCCTTGATGGGTTGGGGAGCCCACCAACCCCTGAGGTGCGAAACCCCGCCAGCCTGCTCTATTTTCCTTCGATGAGGTCGCCTGGGGACCTGGGTGCCCCAGAGGACACGTGACCCTGGCCCCTGTGCCCTCCAGCTGTGGCACCCCACCTGATGGAGCCCTGGACTGGGCAGCTCGGCACCTCCTTTTCTGACCAGCCCCACGAGCCACAGGCTGTGTGGCACCTATGGCGGAAGCCGGGTCCGGTGCCTGGGGCCCAGCGAGGAGAATGTGGAGGCTTCCCACCTGCGGGGAGCAGCAGGGAGGTGGCGAGGGCTGCCAGGACAGGTGGAAGAAGGCTCAGCGGACGGGAGTGTCAGGCAGATTCCCCTGGGGCAGGACCTGGGGGCTGGGTCACTCAGTGGTGCCAGGGGTGAAGGGGGGCCAGGTGCTCCCCACACCCAGGCGGGTGTCCTGCCCTCACCACTCAGTGTGGCTGCTGGCAAGGGGGCCGGCTCTGGCCCTCACCCCACACCCTCAAGGCACAGCCTCCACTCCTGCTCTGAGCCCCCTCCATTTCTAGGGGACCCTGGGGCGGGTGGGTATGTCTCCTGAGCTGAAGGCTCATAGGAGGGAGTGGGCCAACTTCTGGAGGTTACAGTGATGCGGCCGGGAAGACCCGGGGCTCCAGGGGCGTGACACCCAGACTTGTCAGACCCATCCTGAGCTGCCTCTGCCCCACGAGCGGAGGGACTCACCGTGGTCCCCCACACCGCTCCCCCACCAGTGCCCGGCCAGGTGGCCACCGTCTCATTTAGCTCTGCAGCCACACAGGAGGGGCCCCCACCTGGCACACTCATTTTGGGGTGTCCAAAGCAGGTGTCTGCTCCCCCAACACACCCGTATCTTCCCTGCTGGGGCCCCTCTGGACACAGGTCCCGGCCCGCTGCTCCTACCGAGTCCCACAATAGCTGGAAAAGAGATCAGGCTGGGCAGGAGAGGAACCCATGGCCCAGCCCCTGGCACTCGGACCCCTGGCCCTGCAGCTGGACCGGGTAGACGCCAGAGTGCCCGCTGCGCCCACGAGAGCAGAACCGGATGTGCGCAGGAAGGAATGCCCTCCACCTGGCGAGGGCGAGGCCAGCTGCTGGGGCTGGCAGAGAAGGCGAGCGACACCCAGGGCCGGGGGAGGCAGCTCAGGAGGTGAAGGCGCCCGGCCCACCCGAGGAGGCCCCGGGCCAGGGTGCTTGTGTGGGGAGACAGGGCCCCGAGGCAGCCTTCCACACAGTCCCCCCAACACTGGGGGTCTTGAGGGTGGGGGAGGACACGATCCACCACGTGGAGGAGGTTGGTGAGGGCCACTCATCCACGGAGCCACGGGACCCCAGCATCCACAGGGCCAGGCTCCGTGTCCATCAGCGGAACAGAGCCATGCACAGAACACACAGCGCCCCCGCCCCCGACTAGGGGTGAACAATGAACAGCAAGCGTGTCAGGTGAAAGTAGGTTCGGGGAGCAAAATAAAGCAGGGGGAGGGCAAGTGTGGAGGGGTAGGGAGGGGAGAGCCCCAGAGAGAAGCAGCCAAGCAAAGGCCCTGGGGCCGTGAGAGTGCAGGCCCCCAGGAGGCCCAGTGCACAGTGGTCACAGGTCACCGTGGGCCTGGGGCTGGGGCCCTGGGTGAAATGGGAGCGAGTAGAGGGTTTAAAGAGAGAACGAACAGAAAGGGTTTTCGTATTAAAGATAAAATGAGTGGGATGCGTTATGCTCGTGAACTCACACCAATTGCAGGTGTACACCTGAGCCCCAGCGTGAGTCCTGAGGGCCAGGCCGGGGCTCAGGGGAGGGGGCACCTGCCTCCCGATGGGAGAGATGGGGGAGGCCACCCTCACTACACACTGTGACCTGTCTGTGAGGCTCAAGGGCCGGGACAAATACGTTCACCCTGCCAGGATCTGCCGCTGGGGGGTACGCCTGGGGCAAAGCTGTGGGCAGCAGGGTGGCTGGACACAGACAGACGGACACAGAGACAGACAGGCTTTAGAGCACAGCTGCTCCAACCCCTTCCCTCCCCCTTTCCCCGCCCCTCTCCATCTTCTGTCTCAGTCCCTCCCTTGGCTCCCCCAGCCACAGCCAACCCCCCCGTTCCTCCCCTCTTAGAAGACATTCTGCCTGGGCGTCTGTCTGTCTCTGTCCGTTTCTCGATCCTCCCCCCACTGCCTCATCCCGCATGCCCTGATCCATACACTGGTGTCTGCTGGCCGCGGCCCAAGCTGACTCCTGACTGCAGAAGGGGCCCGTCCCGGGCAGAAAGGAGAGGCGTTCGTGATCAGGTGTCCCAGCAAAATCAACCAGAGCTGTCGGCAGGTCCCCAGAAAGGGTGTCTGGTGACCAGTGGTGAGATGTCAAGGTTTGCGGTCAGCACACCCCTTCGGGGCTCAGGGACCTGCAGGCACCCGACCTGCACCGCCCCCCCCACCCCCACCTTGGGAGGCTTGGCTTCTGCTGGGCTGGATGGAATTGGCCCTTCTCTCGGGTACACTGAGGCAGAACTCGGCATCCTGGGGTCTGAGGTTTCCCACTCACATGGTCTATCTGGGCATCTCAGAGTCCAGGGTCAGGGACCATGGAGCTCTCCTGAGGGGCCCCAGCCTCACCAGCAAGTTTTACCTGCAAGGTCCGGGAGTGCCTCCCTCAGCACCCAGAGCCCAGGGCCATCGGGATTAGGGGCAGGAAGGAGCCAAGCAAGGCGGCAGCCCCCCCAGACTGAGCCTCCTACCCAGGCACCTGGACCCAGGGACAGCCAGGCTACAAGCACCTTCAGCGGAGGAGGCCGGTCTGGCCTGGACACCTGGGAGGCCGTGTGGTTTGGTGTACACTCGCCAAACTCCCAGGGCCCCCGGGGAGGGACCCATCTCCTCCCCACCTGGCCCACCCTGGATGGGGCTGGCGCAGCTACCCCAACACCTGCCCTCTCCCACCCTTCCAGCCTGGCTACCGGATGGTCAGCTGAGGGTGGGCAGCGGATACGCCCTTGGGGGCACGGCCCACATGCGGAGCCAGGTGTATGAGCCTGGCTGCCAGCTCAGGCTTGCGTGCCCACCCCTGCTCTGGGCCTCGGTTTCCCCATCCGTGACAGGCGGGACACTGCCCCACCCACTGGGAAAGGCAGCCCAGGTGATCCCTAAAAAAGCTGTGGCTGCCAACTCGAAGCCCATCCCCCATCACTCTGCTGTCAGCCTCAGAAGGCGAGGACCCTCTGGAGACGGGCAGGCGCGTTCCCCTGCCCGAGACTCGCCACCCAGGCCTGCCTGACCGCCAGCTCCCCTGGGCGGCCAGGCAAGAACCCGCTCTGGGCGGGGCCTGTCCTTAGAGGACTGGGGGGGGGGGGCAGGACTGGATGCTTCCTCCCGCAGAAGCCACCATCTGGCCCAGAGAGCCTGGGAGCCCCTCGTGACGGCCCAGCCCCACTGGTAAGAGCAGGAAAGACGTGGTGCCCACAGTGAGCCGGTGCTGGCGGGCCTGGGCCACAGGAGTGGGCTCCTGGGGTGTGGACTGAGGTCCTGCTCGGGGGAGCCAGGCGAAGGAGAGGGCGCGGGGGCAGCCCCCCGGCCCGGCCCGCACCCACCTTGTCTCGGATGCCCTGCCGCAGGGCCTCGCGCTCCGCCTCCATCTTGGCGTACTTGGCCTTGCGCTCCTCCTCCTCCTGCCTCAGGGCTTCCTGGCGCTCCTCCTCCTTCTTGGCCGCATCGGGGTCCTTCTCCTCGTCGCCCCCGAGCATCTTCCCCATGTCCTTTGTGGCCCCTGGGGACAGAGAGCCGGGCAGTCGGGGCGCAGGGGCTGCCCAGCGAGACCCAGGCCCGCCCTACCCCGCGGCTAGCTCGCAGGAAGCTTGGCCTTTGTGGGGGCGGGAGGAGGCGTGCCCGTGTGTGCACGCGGCGGCCGGCGTGTGCGCGTGTGGCCGTGGCGGCGGCCGGCGTGTGCCCGTGTGTGCACGCGGCGGCCGGCGTGTGCGGTGTGGCCGTGGCGGCGGCCGGCGTGTGCGCGTGTGTGCACGCGGCGGCCGGCGTGTGCGGTGTGGCCGTGGCGGCGGCCGGCGTGTGCACGGCTGTGTGTGCGCCCGCAGGCCCAGCTCCTCTGGGTCTCGTGCCCGACAAGGTGCCGGATGCAGGAACACGGGGTTCGGGCGTCTGGTGAGGCTCCCCGCAGGGGCCGAGGGGTGGCCGTGGCCAGAGCGGCCGGGGGCTGCGCGCCGCAGCACCGAGGCCCTGATTTCTCTGCTGCACCAGCCACCACTTTTCTCATGAGCTCCTGATTCACAGGCAACAACAAAACACCTCCCGGACGCCCTCCATGACTCGGCCCACAGGACAGAGACACGTAATTGCAGCCTTGGAGCCTGGCCGGCACCGCGGTGAGCCCTGGCCCCCAGGGGGGCTGCTGGAAGCAGAGCGGCCCCCCATCACAGGCACCGTGGGTGCGGCTGGTGGGGGGCCGCTCGCAGCCTGGCGGGGTCAGTCCCTTGGGCGCCCCCGCATGGCCAGTAGGAGCCAGGCAGCCGCTCCCATCAGCGCTGCAGGCTTCCTGGGAACAAGCAGCATCCATAAGGGGACCCCCTGCCCCAGGACTCCCCTGTGCCTGCCGTTCACCTCCTGTGACCCTGAGCGAGGACCAGTGACCGCCCAGCCCCACGCCCACTGACACCCTTCCATTGGCCTCGCTGGCACCAGTCTCTGAGGGGCTGGCCTCTGTCCTCTGATCCCGTGCTGAGCCCTCACAAGCACTGCTCAGGGCTCGCTGAGTCCATGCCTTGGGGATGAACAGTGCGGTGGAAATGCACTTACTCACGTAAGTCTGTGAGGGGGCCACTAACACCACGCCCCTTCTCCAGGAGGACCCCATCCCACACTGGCTTTGAGGCCCAGCTCCGTGCTGCCCCCTGCTGTCCACATCCGGTGACTCCATGTTCTGAACCTCTGCGTTCACGTCCTGGTACTGCCGCACTCCTGTGATACTGCATGTGTCCGTGTAGCACTGACCCGGGAGAGACGCCGTTTCCTGCAGATATCTGTGCCATGTGCTGCCTTTGCCGGTTACTCAGGAGTGATACCCACCCCCCCACCCCCCCAGGCCTGTGAGCAGAGGAGGAAGTTTGGAAGGCCACGAGCTATTGGTAGCAATAGAACAACTCTTTGATTGAGTATTCTGGGCTGAAAACTAGATGTTTGTAGGCTGGGCCACGCCTATACCCGTAGGCCTTCTTAGCTGCTGGAAACTACCACAGGGTCTTGGGGGTGGGAAGGCCAAGGCCAACTTGTCCCCTCCTGTGCCGGGCATTTTGGCACAGATCCAGACTAACAGAAAAGTAAAACCTCAGGGTCAGTTTTCAGGCACATCTGCAGAATTCTCTAAAGCGTCTTTGAAGCCAGTGATTCAAGGGAAAGCAGGTCATAGTCTCGTCACTTACTCTTCTGATAGTCGCCCAGATGACGACGCAGAGCCTCTGTCCTCTGGCACTGCTGTGGCCTCCGCCAGGCGTGGGGAGGGGCACAAACGAACTCCCACAGTCCAGGAAGCAGCTGCAACTTTCCCAACCTCTTTGGCCTGTTGGCCACCCAGAGCACCGTGTATCTCTCCCCCTTGAACAAGCTAATTCACACTAAAGTGAGAGTGACCAGGTGCTCTTCCTCCCTCCCAGGAAAGACTGGTAAACCAGTCTCATCCCCTCCCTCTCCTGGGAGGGGTGAGGGCTGCGGGGGCACCCTTACTTGGTGGCCTCTAAACCTGCTTCCTGGGGCACCTGGGTGGCTCAGTTGGTTGAGCGTCCAACTTCAGCTCAGGTCATGATCTCGCAGTTTGTGGGTTCGAGCCCTGTGTGCTGACAGCTCAGAGCCTGGAGCCTGTTTTGGATTCTGTGTCTCCCTCTCTCTCTCTCTCTCTCTGACCCTCCCCCACTCACGTTCTGTCTCTCTGTCCCAAAATAAATAAAAACTATAAAAATTAAAAATAAATAAATAAACCTGCTTCTTCAACCCATCACATGCACTATAGGCCTAGTGATCAAATATGCATTTATTGAGCACCAGCTGTGTGCTGAGCTCTCCTACACCAGGTGTGGGCCTGGGAGAGCTTGCCCAGGACCCTTCTGGCTCTGAGTTTCATGGGCTTCCCGGGGTCCCTGGCGGCCCTGTCTTGCCTCTAGTTGAGCTCTGGGTGGTCCATTTGGCCAGAGGGTCAGGGAAAGCCAAAGGGGGAGCTAGCCCATCCGTCAGAGGGGCCGCCCTGGGGGCTGGGCAGCTTCTCTTAGACCAGGGGCAAGGGGACCAGAGGTCACTGTGCAGCGGTGTGGATTAGTGCCACTCAGTCTGAATGGGACCAGCCTTTGGGGCATCCACGGCACCATGTGGCAAGGAACACTCCCTCCCCCGCCCCCCCCGCATGGCCTCCACTGCTGCACAGAAATGCGTCCAGAAGCCCCACCTGGCTGGGGGTTAGAAGGGAGGCCAGCGCCACAGCGGAAACCATGGGAAGCTTGTTCCTGGCATAAAACCCAACATGCCATTTGCCGTCCTGGCACGGGCAGGCTGGCCCAGCCAGGGTGGGGCTGGCGGCAGCGATGCCCGGGGGGTCCCTGCTCCACAGCTGCCAGCCATGTTTACATATGAGGAGATGAACACCAAGGGGCAGTTCCACCCCCCACCTGGGTCCAAAGCCTCTGACTGCGGGAGGCGGGTGGGATCTGAGGCTGGGGGTCCCACGCTGGCTCCAAGGGGCAGCAGCATGGGGAGGGGGCTGGAGTCCACCCCACCTCTCCCTTCACTCTTCTCTGAGCCTGACTTTCCCAGGTGAGGGGTGGGAAACCAGGGCCCGGGGTTGGGGGCGCAGACCCAGCTGGCACCTCCCACATTCAGCTGAACTCCCAGGGCATGACCCAGCTCAGGATGAGGTGGGGGCATCTTTCCACTCAGCAGTGGTTCCTATACTTAGAGGGGCGACTGTTATGCAGAAATCCAATAACAGCCAGAGAAAGCCACTCACTAAGGTTCACGAAACGCCAGCGATGAGGAAGCATGAGCACGTGGTTTGCACGGCCACCCAGCAGCTGGGAGCTGCCAGGCCCTGCCCAGGCCCCCACCGGCCCCAGTGCCAGACCCTCCTCCCTTAATGCCCCTGGGGAGGCAGGGGTGGAGTTACAGGCTCTGAAATTCCCACCTCAGGGCCTTTGCACTTGCTACTCTTCCTTGAGCTCGTTTCCCAGAGCTTTGTCCACTACTCCTGAGAAAAGTGTCTGGCATGTAGTAGTAGGTGGTCAACAAATACCTGGCAAATAATGAACTTAAAAATCATTTTGAATATGACCATGTGCTCGGCCACAAGGAAAATCTTAACAAACCCTACCACTAACGTCATAGTCCGTGATGAAATACTGCTCAGTAACAAAGCTGCCAAGCTCACTCAGGAGGGAAGGACGGCCCTCTCCCCAGCGGCACTGAACACCCCGTGCAAGTAAACGCGCAAGAAGTTTCTTCCCTCGCCTCACTCCTCTCGCAAGGCTCCATCCAGACCCGACTGGAGGAGCTAAAATTGCAGAACTACTGGAATAAAACGTAAGAGGAAAGTCTCTGTGAGCCTGACTTGCGCGAAGACCCCTCACATAACTCACTTAAGACTTGAACCCTGGAAGAGTATCCTGGGCTTCATCAGCATCAAAGACCAGGCTGCCCGACGTCCCGCTGCGTCCCGTCCCTGGGGGAGGTGGCTGCCAGGAGGGGGACACGGGCGACTGTGCAGTGTGGAGACAGCGGTGTGGACAGCGGTGTGGACAGCGGTGTGGAGTTGTACTGAATTTCATAAGAAAATACAAATATCAAGCTCTCCCCGCCCGGCACCCACCTCTTCTGCTGGTGACGTGGCCACACACCTAAATAACCCGTGACGCCCAGAGAAAATAAGGTGGAATGGCTACATGTGATATTCATAGATACAAATTAACCGCTTTGCGTGGTACAATCATTAACCAGCTGGAAACACAAATGGGACCATGTTCCAGCCACAATAATTATAAAACTAGAAGATACCTAGGAATAAGTTTAGCAGAGAAATCCACAGAACCTGCATGTAGAAAACAGCACCCTCTTAAGGCTGAGGCTTTGCGTGGATGTGGCGAGTTCTCGACAGGCCGGCCTGAGTGACAAAGGTGTGGTTACCCCAGGATTAATCTGTGATTGTGCAACAATTCTTGCTTCTTTCTTTGTCTGGGGTTTGGACCAAATTAAGATTCATATGGTTATAGTGTAACAGTCAGGGAAGGCCTGACTCACACGCCAGAGGGGAAAATGCACCCTCACCGTGAGTCCCGGAAACATCCGGGGAGCTGCAGACAGTGCAAAGGGCACGAGATTGGAGACGTTTGGAAATGTGACAATGTCCATGCCGGGCAGGTGTCGCCCTCCGGGGACGGGGGGGCGGTCACAGCAGTGTGGGCAAGTAACCTGGCACTCTCCAGCACGTTTCGAGTCCACCCAGCCATCGGCCCCGCGCCCCACCCCTCCGCGGCCCCGCGCCCCACCCCTCTACAGCAGTCCCATCAGAACCAACGCTCCTCCCTGTTAGGAACACGGGACCGTTTGCCGCAGCTGCAGCCTGGCTGGAGACAAGGTGACATCTTGGCCACACACCGCCATGATGCGCCCACGTCAGGAGGCCCAGGCTGTGAGCGCGAGGGACCGCCGGGCGTGCTGATGGCCAGGCGCAGACAAAGGAGTAGCACAGACACCTTGTTTGGAAAGGCGGCAGAGAGAAGCCTTGTGTATGAATATACCCATGTTTCACGACTGTTTAAAGACAGAAAAGGGTAGCCAGGTTCATACCAAACCTAAAGCTGGAACAAAATGAGTCCTTTTCAAACTCATGGAATGTTGACAAAAAGCAATCAGATGTTGTCTTACGCCACAATGAGACACCACTTTACAGCTGTGACTATTACAAAATAATAAGTTAAAAGAGAACCCAGCAAGCTAGCCTTGGTGAGAATGTGAGGAAACCAGAAGCCTGTGCACTGTCGGTGGGGAGGTAAAATGGAGCAGCCGCAGCGGAAACAGTGTGAGGTTCCGGAAAAAATCAGAGAATCACTCTATGGTCCAGGAAGTGTTCCCCTAGGCAGAGCCGACAGGTGGAAACCCCCAAGGGTGGTCCATCCACACGATGGACTATTGCTCAGCCTGAGACAGGAATGAGATTCTGCCACCTGCCACTGCACGGATGACCCCTCAGAATGTCACGCAGGTGAGACACGCCAGGCACAGAAGAACAGACACAGTAGGGTTCCGCTTATGTGAGATTCCTCCAAGTGGGAGAGTCATAGAGACAGAAAGTGGACGGTCAGGGGCTGGGGGAGGCGGGTAGTCACTGTTTAATGATGACAGAGTGTCAGTTAGGGAAGATGAGAAAGTTCTGGAGATGGAAGGCGGGACAGTACCACGACACTGTGAATGCATTTAATGCCACTGAGCTCCCACCGAAAAATGGACAAAATGGCACCTGTTATACTATTCATATTCATCACAAAAAAAGAGGAGCATAAAATTAAAGTTTAGTTATTTCTTTATTTTGAGAGAGACAGAGTGTGAGTGCACAGGGGTGGGGCAGAGAGAGACAGAGAGCAGGGGAGGGGCAGAGAGAGGAGAGGGGAGAGAGAGAGAGAGAGAGAGAGAGAGAGAATCCCAAGCAGGCTCCACACTGCCAGTGCAGGGCCCAACGTGGGGCTCGATCCCAGGACCCTGGGATCATGACCTGAACCAAATCTGAGAGTCAGATGCTCAACTGATTGAGCCACCTGGGCACCCTGAGAAGTATAAATTCAGAACAACCTACAATCTTATGTCTGAAAGAAAAATTCTGAAAAAAAGAAAAGTCAAGCTGCATAGACCACCTCGCTGCGTTCCCAACACAGAACTAAGACCGCGTCTCTGGCTCTTGTGACAGTGGCGCTGGGAACACGCCCACCTCCCGGGCTGCTGAGCACATGGGACCTGTCTGATGACAAACGCGTCAGACGATATGGG